TTCATCCATATCCTTCTATCGATTTCAGCAGGTTTAGATAACCTTCATCAGACAACAAATCAACAGATTTAAACGGATATACATATTGCTTTTCATTTCCATCACATTCTCTACTTATATATATTCGAAGCAGGTTCATCAGGATACAGACAAATTCCAAGCTTCCAAGGTTAGTTTCCTTCAATCTTTTGTTTTTGTTTTCGATTTATATTATTTACACTATACGTGTTCTCTACGATCTTTTTTTATTCAAACAGAGTCAACATCTTTCAAGGTTCATTTCCTTGTTAGAATTAAGAAAAGAATAATAAGTGTTTTTACTCGAACAACATTTAGTTCAAAACACTAAGAAGTTGTTACTAAATGCTTATTGGATAAGCTGTGTATTTTTATTTACTATATTGTGTGATATTTTCGGTTATCAAAATGAACTATTAATAAGTGCTAAGAGCATCTCCAATAGCTACTCTAAAATAAAGAAAATGAAGAAAATAAGAATTTTGAGTCAATATTTTGCTCCAACAACTTTTCTAAAATTATCTCCAAAATAGAGAAAACATGAGAAAGAAGAGTTTTTTCTCCAAATTTGGAAAAACATCACAAAAATGATTACCAAGTGAAACCATCAACAGGAAACTTTGAAAATAAATTTATAGAGAAAGAAATAATATTTTAATAGATATTTGAAATATTTTAATATTATAGTTAATGTTGGATTTGTTAGAACCAATCCAACGAATTATAGAATTACACTTCCAAGTTTGAAACTAAACAGAAATTAACCAAGAAAGTAAGTAAAAATCTAACCTTTACGATGATATCACTATATGCCAAGATCGAGAGATAGAGGCCTACCACAGCAGTGTCCTAAGACGAAATTTCTCCCCCAACCGTGCGTTGGTAAACGGACGTCGTCTTGAGGATACAACTATCTAATCGGATTGACGCACGTCAATCCGATTCCACCGAATCGATAATACGTTCCATGAAACAATGATATAGAGAAAAAAATTATTGAGAGAGAATTGTGTGTGTAAAGAAATCATATCTGATTTCTGGGAGACGAACCGCAAAGATGAAAATTAACTGCAAAAATGCAGTTACCGACACGGGTCTCGAATCGGGCAAAAACGTAATCGGGTCATAACAGCCTAAAGGCCCATCTTTTGACCATTAATATTGGTAATGCCACACCAAATCCCAATGTCAATCCTTTTTTTGGGCCTCTCTCTAACTTGATAATTCATGTGTGTAAGGCCATATAAACACATGAAACTTTCCTTCTATTTTCTATGCGGGACATATGTGGACTAATATCCAACAATACCCCATATTTTCTATTCAAACTCCAACAATACCCCACATTTGAATAGAAAATAAGCTTACAAACATAGGAAATTATTTGCTATTCATGGAGCTAAATACAAGGTACATCAAGAAAGGTGTCTTTTGGACTTGAACTGTCCTTAATGAATACAAATCGGATCTACTTAGTGGGTAGTGAACATAAGTCTTGAACTAACCACCATGAGTAGTAAATCTAGACAATTAGCATCACATACATCATATCTATACGTATATCTATTCTTACGGTTGTGTTCATTTCGGTCGTGAACATAATCCTTTCTTCATGAGACTTTTAGAGAACTTAGCCATCTCGGTTCTCAAAGATGCGACCGCACACCAATCTCACATAGGTAATGTCAATCAGGGACATTCCGTAGTATCCCACTGTAAGAGCTATTGACATTATTAAGAATAAATTCAACCCTTAAACTTCTACGGAAAACACAAATAAATAAATCATCATAGGAATAAGCATACCTTTGTGTTAAGCGCTTGAATCTTCCTCAACTAGTTGGCCTATTGAACCTAGGCCATGGGATCTCCATTGTTGCTAGGTTAGGTTTCCGCCAAGGAGTGACTCTTGTATTGGCTTTAAGCCCATTCCCTTCGATGAAAAAATGACTTGTTCTCGATTTAGGCCTTTTGTCAAAGGATCTGCAATGTTTGCCTTTGACTTTATGTAATCAATGGAGATTATTCCATTCTTCAACAAGTCTTTTATCGTGTTATGGCGTCGTCTTATATGTCTAGATTTGCCAATGTAGATTTGGTTCTATGCTCACGTTAGAGCAGTCATGTTATCACAATGTATACAGATAGCAGTACCAAGCTTTGGCCATAACGGAATACCTTCAAGAAAGCTCTTGAGCCATTCGGCTTCGTCAGCAGCTTTGTCTAAAGCGACAAACTCAGCTTCCATAGTCGAGCGGGTATTAACCGTTTGTTTGGATGACAAGATATTGATGCTCCACCAAGTGTGAATACATATCCACTTGTGGATTTACTTTCTGAATTGTTAGAAATCCAGCTCGCATCGCAATAACCTTCTATCACGGGAGGATACATTGTATAGTGTAAACCATAATGAATTGTATGTTTGAGATAACGAAGCACCCTCACTAGTGCATACCAGTGATCTCTTCCATGATTATGTGAGTACCGGCTTAATCTACTCACTGTATATGCAATATCCAGTCTCGTACAATTCATGATATACATCAAGCTACCAAGAACTTGAGTATATTCCAATTGTGATACACTATCTCCCTGATTCTTTTTTAGATTAGTAGATGGATCAAATGGGGTTACCACTGGTCTATCCTTATAATGTCCAAATTTTCTGAGGACTTTTTCAATGTAATAGGATTGTGTTAGAATGTAGCCTTCAGAATTCCGGTGAATCTTGATTCCGAGAATTACATCCGCTACTCCCAAGTCTTTCATATCAAATGAGGAATTCAACATTTTCTTCGTTTGATTGATCACATTCATGTTGGTACCCATGATCAACATGTCATCTACATACAGGCATATGATTACATATGCATTCTTATATTGTTTGACATACACACATTTATCACATTCATTTATTTGAAAACCTTGAGATAAGAGTATGTGATCAAACTTTTCGTGCCACTACTTTGGCACTTGTTTAAGTCCATATAGGGACTTAGTCAGTTTGCATACCTTGTTCTCTTGACCTTTAACAACAAACCCTTCGGGTTGTTGCATATAGATTTCTTCATCTAGTTCACCGTTTATAAATGCAGTTTTCACATCCATTTGGTGTATTTCCAAATTGTGAATCGCTGCAATTGCCACAAGAGTTCTTATCGAGGTTATTCTCGTAACAGGAGAGTAAGTGTCAAAGAAATCTTGACCTTCTTTTTGACGATATCCTTTGGCTACCAAACGAGCCTTATACTGTTCGATCGTCCCATCAGGTCTAAGTTTCCTTTTAAAGATCCATTTATGGCCTATTGGTTTGTGTCCCGGTGGGAGATTAACCAATTTCCATGTATTGTTTTGGATAATGGAATCAATCTCACTCTGTATGGCCTCTTTCCAATAAGGAGCTTCAGAAGAATCCATAGTTGCCTTATAGGTCAACGGTTCACCTTCTACATTAAAGGTCATGTAATCTGGTCCAAAATCTTTGGCTATTTTCCCACGCTTACTTCTTTTAGGTTCAATTTCCTTTTATGCATTGGAAGTGCCTTCCCCGTTCGGGTTTGTACTTGGATTTGGTTCATCATGAGGTGAGATATCCTCATTTCCTCTTTTTGTTAGAATAAAGATTGTTTTCTCCTTGTCTCTATAAGGAAATGAGGTTTCAAAGAATTCTACTTTGGCAGATTCTATTATCGTGTTTATATGCACATCCTCAACTTGTGACTTGTGTACAAGAAACCTATAGGCTGCACTATTCTTGGCCGGACCAAGATATATGCAATCTATGGTTTTCGGTCCAAGTTTATTCCTCTTTGGTAAGGGGACTTAAACCTTAGCTAGGCAACCCCACACTTTCATCCTTTTGAAGGTAGGTAATCTACCTTTCCATAATTCATATGGGGATTGATTACTCTTGTTATGAGGGATTTTGTTCAATATCGTATTAGCAATAAGACGAGCTTCACCCCATAGACTGAGTGGAGCCCCAGACGTGATCAACATTGAGTTGATCATGTTCTTTAGTGTTATGTTCTTCCGTTCGGCTACCCCATTTTGTTGAGGGGAATAAGGTGTCGTAGTTTGATGTACTATACCATGAGAAGAACAAAATTCAACAAATTCATGGGATTCATACTCCCCTCCTCTATCGGACCTTAGAATTTTGATCTTCTTGTCGAGTTGATTCTCGACCTCGGCTTTATATGTTTTAAACATTTTAAGGAGCCTCATCCTTGGTATGTGACAAATAGATAAAACAGAACTTACTGCAGTCATCTATAAATGATATATAGTAATTTTTCCCTCCTCTAGTTGGAGTTGCCTTAAAGTCACACAAGTCTGTATGAATTAAACCAAGCACTTCATTGGATTTCTCAACTGATTTGTGGGGATGACTTGTGTATTTGGATTCTACACAAGTTTCACACTTTGTCATCTTGCCTATTGAACCTTTAGGTAACATGTTAAGATTCATCATTCTTTGTAAAGAATGGAAGTTAACATGTCCCAATTGAAAATGCCACAAACTTGGTAAGTCTATCATGTACATAGAAGGAGCGGAGCTTGAGTCCACGTTTGTCTTATTCATAGTAATAGCATTGTTATTTACAGTGTTGATCTTAAAGAGCCCCTCGTGAAGGTAGCCCTTCCCAACATACACACCACCCTTGGTGATGACAAACTTGTCCTATTCAATTACAACTTTGAACCCTTTGTTACTAAGAACCGGGCCAGAAATCAAGTTTTGCTAATTTCAGGTACATGTAAGACATTAGAGAGCATGAGCTCTTTTCCAGAAGTGAGCTTGAGGGTCACGCTTCCTTTACCCTCCACCTTAGTTGTAGTAGCATTCCCCATGAACATTGGTTCCTAGTTGTGGACCTTCGTATAGGTTGTGAACAGATTGTGAGAGTTGCATATGTACATTGATGCATCCATGTCGAGCCACCAATCAACATTGTTGGTCACCATATTTGCCTCGATCACGCCAACGAACCAGTTTTCTGAATCAGTGATGTGAGCTTGATTGGAAGGGCCAGCACCTCCGCTTCCTCCTCCGTTCTCTTGATTCCTTTTGAACCTACAATCTTTTGCTCGATGTCCACCCTTTCCACATACCTATCAAAGGATGGATTGTTTCTTGAAAGGGCGTTTAGTTTGGGAAAGAGGATTCTTTGCATTAAAAGATTGTTTCGTAGGAGCTTTGCCTTTCATTTTCAAAAAAACGTTCATTGTTGAAATTTTCTTTGGATGAGTTACCCGCCACCATATTGGCGTTGGGCTCCAAAGAGGTTCCACAATCCTTCTCGGTTTTTCTATTGTCTTCCTCAACTCGGAGTTTCAATACAAGTTGATCAAAAGTCATCTCTTCCGTTAGATGCTTAAGATACAACTTGAAATCCTTCCAAGTGGGAGGCAATTTCTCAATGATAGCACTAACCAGAAAGTTAGAGTTTGAACCCATACCTTCAACCTCGAGTTCATGAGCCAAGATTTGAATCTCCTCTACTTGCTTGACAATCGAACGAGAATCGTTCAACTTGAAGTTAAGAAACTTTCCCACAACGAATTTCTTAGAGCACGCCACTTGCGTTTTGTATTTGGTCTCTAACGATTCCCATATCTCCCTTGTGGTATTCAAAGTGGAGTATATATCATACAAGGAATCGTCTAGTCCATTCAGAATATAGCTTCGACAACTATATTTGTTGCTAGACCAAACATCGACGGCTCTTTGGAATTCCACAATTTGTCTAGCAGTATGAACATTCTGCCCTTCACTAACAGGCGGATTAGTAGGCGCCTGTTCCATGAGGACATTCGAAACTCGCAGCGTGGTCAAGTAAAACAATATCTTTTGTTGTCAACGCTTGAAATCTGAACCCTTGAATTTGTCGGGTTTTTCAGCGTAATTCTTCAATATCGTTGGTTGATCCATTTGTTTCTATTATCTAGAAACAAGTTTTCATCTTAGATTGTTAGAACCAATCCAAGGAAGTATAGAATTACACTTCCAAGTTTGAAACTAAAACAGAAATAAACAGAAATTAACCAAAAAATTTAGTAAAAATCTAACATTTACGATGATATCACTATATGCCAAGATCGAGAGATAGAGGCCTGCCACAGCAGTGTCCTAAGACGAAATTTCGCCCCCAATCGTGCGTTGGTAAACGAGCATCGTCTTGAGGATACAACTATCTAATCGGATTGATGCACGCCAATCCGATTCCATCGAATCAATAATACGTTCCATAAAGCAACGATATAGAGAAAAAAATTATTGAGAGAGAATTGTGTGTGTAAAGAAATCGTATATGATTTCTGGGAGACGAACCGCAAAGACGAAAATTAACTGCAAAAATGCAGTTACCGACACGGGTCCCAAATCGGGCAAAAACGTAATCGGGTCATAAGAGCCCAAAGGCCCAAGGCCCATCTTTTGACCATTAATATTGGGTAATACCACACCAAAGCCCAATGTCAGTCTTTCTTTTGAGCCTCTCTCTAACTCGATTATTCATGTGTGTAAGGCGATATAAACACATGAAACTTTCCTTCTATTTCCTATGTGGGACATATGTGGACTAATATCCAACAAGTTTTCATCTTAGATTATTAGAACCAATCCAACGAAGTATAGAATTACACTTCCAAGTTTGAAACTAAAACAGAAATAAACAAATATTAACCAAGAAATTTAGTAAAAATCTAACATTTACGATGATATCACTATATGCCAAGATCGAGAGATAGAGGCCTGCCACAGCAGTGTCCTAAGATGAAATTCCGCCCCCAATCGTGCGTTGGTAAATGGACGTCATCTTGAGGATACAACTATCTAATCGGATTGATGCACATCAATCCGATTCCATCGAATCGACAATACGTTCCATGAAGCAACAATATATAGAAGAAAAAAAATTATTGAGAGAGAATTGTGTGTGTAAAGAAATCGTATCTGATTTCTAGGAGACGAACAACAAAGACGAAAATTAACTGCAAAAATGCAGTTACCGACACGGGTCTCGAATCGGGAAAAACGTAATCGGGTCATAAGAGCCCAAAGACCCAAGGCCAATCTTTTGACCATTAATATCGGGCAATGCCACACCAAAGCCCAATGTCAATCCTTCTTTTGGGTTTCTCTCTAACTTGATAATTCATGCGTGTAAGGCCATATAAACACATGAAACTATCCTTCTCTTTCCTATGTGGGACATATGTGGACTAATATCCAACAAGTTTTCGTCTTAGATTGTTAGAACCAATCCAACGAAGTATATAATTACACTTCCAAGTTTGAAACTAAAACGGAAATAAACAGAAATTAACCAAGAAATTTAGTAAAAATCTAACCTTTATAATGATATCACTATAGGCCAAGATCGAGATATAGAGGCCTGCCACAGCAGTGTCCCAAGAAGAAATTCCGCCTCCAATCGTGCGTTGGTACACGGATGTCGTCTTGAGGATACAACTATCTAATTGGATTGATGCACGTCAATCCGATTCCATCGAATCGATAATACGTTCCATGAAGCAACGATATAGAGAAAAAAATTATTGAGAGAGAATTGTGTGTGTAAAGAAATCGTACATGTTTTCTGGGAGACGAACCGCAAAGACGAAAATTAACTGCAAAAATGTAGTTACCGACACGGGTCTCGAATCGGGCAAAAACGTAATCGGGTCATAAGAGCCCAAAGGCCCAAGGCCCATCTTTTGACCATTAATATTAGGTAATGCCACACCAAAGCCCAATATCAATCCTTCTTTTGGGTCTTTCTCTAACTTGATAATTCATGTGTGTAAGGCCATATAAACACATGAAACTTTCCTTCTATTTCCTATATGGGACATATGTGGACTAATGTCCAACGGGATTCTCCAAAATAGATAATCTGTACATTTATTTCTTGCAGGTGTGGCTTGCTTTGATTGGAGATCAATGTACTTTTTTTTGGAGATTTTGACTTTTGGTTCTCTATTTTGAATTTTTTTGTGGAATCTGTTGGAGATGCTCTAACAGGGTATGATTCTCGGTTATTGATACATCTCATACTAGGTAAGATTTTCAGTTGGTAAGATAAGTGACACCTAGTAAGCGTCTAATAAACAACCCCTAAATTTGATTACGAGAATCTACTCGTCAATTCTCAATCCACATAAAGATTAGATTTTGAAAAATTACAAAAGCTACCAACATCATTAAACTTGAATAGTATTAAAAGAAAAATACTGATAAGTAAACTAAACAAGGCTAATTGCATTTATCGGGTAAAATTACGACATTTTTGTTTAGAATCGCATTGGTAATACCACATTCATGTTTTTCAAAATTTGCTTTTATAGAGTATCAAATATTTATATTTAAACAAAATCACATCACATACGTAATTGTTTGATCAAACGTTTTTTAACTTTCAATGTTCTTTTATCTAAAAAAAGTAAGACAAATCAGAAAAAATATATATAAAATAAATGTCAAAATACTATTTATAAATTTAGAAAAAAATATAATTTAATTCTTTATAAATAATATTTAATAATAAATATATATACTATATTTGAATATTCATGGACGGGAAGGGGGCGGGACCACGTTAGCCATTCCTGTCCCCATCCCCAGTTTTTAACTTTTAGGGATCCCCTGTCCCCATCCTCAGTTCTTAACTTTCAGGGATCCCCTGTCCCCATCCCCGATCCTCGATTTTACGGGGAATCCTCGTCCCTGTCGGGGTGGATACACCAGGTTCCTCAATGGGGCAGGTCTCATTCTCATGCCTACCAAGAGTAAATGAGTAAAGGTTTCTCAATATATCCCAACAATTTACAGCAACAATCTACATCCACAACTGGGATTTATTACAAAACTAGGGACAAACAACTACCAAACTCCAAGCCAAACTCCGCTTGGATCAAATCTCCCCTTCCCTTTTGAAGCACTCTGAACGTGAAACTTAATTTTAAATGGTTTACTTTTGAAAAGTGAGGGTTATACCATATGGTTTAGTAAATTCCCTTAATCACCATTTCAACATTTACAAACAGTTGAAATAATGATAAAGCCAACAACAGAAAATTTTCCATACTCTATAAAATTTGAGCACATTCCCATCACGCGGACATTGCATATCATTTGTGGCAACCCCGTCACAATCCCTGTGTGACAATTATAGTATTCAAGCCCCTAACATGTGTACATCCAATATGCTAGAGAAACAAATTCGAGGCACATGGATCACAACTTCCAAGGGATATCACTACCTCAAGGTACCTTACGTCTTCTGTGCAACTCTATACATCCCCAAGAGCTACATATAGCTCATTTTTTGTCAACCTAGCAAAAGATATATTTTTATATATAAGGACATCAATGCATAATACCATGACGGTACTCAAAAGCATTTAAGAGCTATAACGAGATATAAAATTTATCACCTGGCGTTTCGCACTTCACTCCAAGCCTAACGGCTAAAAAAACTCAAACCGAACACCTAAATTAACCGACAAAACAATAGTGTTAAACCACCTAAATTATCTCAAAACCACTTATTAGTATCTCTAAAGCAATCCCCTAAAACACGGCCTCAAACATAACCGGATACGAGAAACGAAGAAAAATCAACAAGGCATCAATAGAGCCTATCGTAAACTTTACCATGCCTTAAAGTCATGTCCAAACATGCCTTAAAGTCATGTCCAAAGTCGCTTGGGCGACTGTTTAAACTGCACGAAATTCAACACTCAACATCCAACTAAAACTCATTAGTCAATCATTCCCAAATCGATTTGGAAGTCCAAAAACATTAGAATCAACGTCTAGAACCATTTTTAACCCCTTATTTACCAAACTAGTCCTTGTAAAAAAAGATTTATACCCACACCCCTAACTTCTAAAGCTTACCAAATTAAAAGGTGAAGGCTATTACAATACCTCTCCTTTAAATGAATATGTCCCCAGAAATCCATCGACGAACAAATGCTGAAATTTTGGATCTCAACTCCGACTCCAATTCCCAAGTTGCTTCTTGGCCTCTATGAAATCGCCATTGCACATTTATCAGACCAATTCCTTTGTTTTTAACTTCTTGACTTTACGGTCAAAAGTTGAGTCCGGTTCTTTAGCGAAGTTCAATTTCTCGTCAATTTGCACCTCTTGCAAAGGTATTGCCATATCGACTTCCGTCAAACATATCCTTAGATTCTGGACATGAAGCATATTACGAATACCGTGCAACTTGTCAGGTAATCCTAATTTGTATGTCGCCTACCCAACACGTTTAGTGATCACAAAAACCCAATATAACGCGGATTCAATTGTCTTTTCTTTCTGAACGCACCATTCCTTTCCATGAAGATACTCTTAACATCATGTTGTTTCTAAGTTGGAATTTGATGGCTTTACTCCATTTATCCACATAACTCTTTTATCAATCATGCGCTGCCTTTAACTTCTCATGAATCTGAACCAATTTATCAGTAGTCAATTGGACAATCATTGGTCCTACTAACTGCTTTTGTCCAACATCGTTCCAATATAACAGTGTTCCATACTTTCCACCCCATGGTACTCTAAGCTGAGCATCCTGAATGCTTGCATGATAAATGTTTCTATGCGTAAATTAAATCAAAGGCAAAATGCCCTTCCTACGTACCATTACGTGCATTCCACATAATTTCGAGTTAGTAGGAAAAAAAATTCCTCACTCTACTCGACTGTCTCACTATGTACTCCATTGAGACTCCAATGCTTGATGAAAACTCTTCCAACACTGAGAAGCATGTTGACCATCGTAATTGAACAACATCAACCACGTCACCAATGAATATTGTAATCAACTTCCCTATCGAACATGTCTTTTCATTTGGCAGAAGTCGATTTATAAAATCAATGCATAAATACCCAATTTGCAGCACGACCCTTTGAAGATCTTGGAGAATTTGTCACAAAGTCACTCACAATATGGTTTCATTTTCACATTGTAACATCTACTATTGTTGAAACAATTGCAATGCTAATCAACAATTTAAATACTTCAACACATACCAAATTCACTTCAGTTTCACCCTTGGCGACTACCCGCTCCAACTGTTAACTTCTCGAAGACAAACTAACAATTTGAGACCTTATGAATAGTTATATTCCTTTCCAACAAATCCACCACGAGCGATGATGTTGGTATACACTTTCCAGCCGAAATAGTCTAAAAGTTCACCGATGATACAATCACAAATTTGCTCAGACAAAGATTACATACACTAATAACCAATTTACAAACATTCCCACATACGCACAACACCATCTCACAATTACTGACGATAGATTTACAAATTTTAAATTTTCCTGAGATATCCAACCATAACCACTCATCAACTACCCCAACGAAAAAAAACA